GTCTGTCCTAGGTCTCTCAAGTGATGAATGGAAAAGCCAGGTTGAACCCAGGTAATCTGGAGCTTAGACAGCAGGATTTTGCCTCCCAAAGCATTGGGAAAAAAAAAAAAAAAAAAAAGACAGCAGGATTTTAACCACTTCAGAGGGTGGGAATTGAAAGGTTCTTGCTCCTCCTTTCTGCCCTGCCTTGTAAACATCCTTTAATTTCTGGCCCATTAAAGTTCTCATTATAGGTTCTTTTGCTTAGGAGATACAACCAAAGTGTGACTATTCATTCAATTCATTCATTCCACAAATAGCCCCCATCCTTGCTTCTTTGGGTAGAAATCACCCCCTGCCTCACTCCCATAGAATTATTTGCAAAACTCTGCCTCAGAAGTAGATTGCTTGGGATTATTATGGTTTGAGGGCTCTCCTGGTAGTTGGGGGTAGGTGGGTGGGAGGATGGGGAATCCGCCCCATAGGTAGAAAGTAGAGAATTGAAGTGGACAGGGAAAGTGGTATTACTGTTAGTGGGGCTGAGGAGGGGTGGGAGGAAGGCTTAGAGGGGGTGCAGCCTTCTCAGCCCCACCTTTCCTCTGAGATGGCAGCACCCAACCAGAAGACCAGTGGGGTGGCTGGCGATACTGTTTCTGTACCTCATTTATTGCCATATTCTTGACTCCCAGCACAGTGCTTAGAGTTTATGCTGGTTGAATGGTTGAATAAATGAATAAACTGACTTCGTAATGCATGATCTTTTACAAGGTTTTGTTTTCCTCTTTGTTTTGGCTACATATTGAGTTTTCCTTGTTGTTGCATGGAGGCTTTCCCTTTTGCTCAACTTCTTCCCCAGTAACAAAGCATCTAGAGTAGATGTGAAAACATCTGTGTCTTGTAAAAGCCCAAATAGCCATTTTGCAGGGCCAGGTGATCTGCTAACATTAATTGCATTCTACCTCCCTTGCTCCTAAGCTAGAGTGCAGTGACATAATCTCAGCTCACTGCAACCTCTGCCTCCCTGGTTCAAGTGATTCTTCTGCCTCAGCCTCCTGAATAGCTGGGACTACAGGCACACACCACCGCACCTGGCTTTTTTTTTTTTTTTTTTTTTTAGTAGAGACAGGGTTTTACCATGTTGGCCAGGCTGGTCTTGACCTCCTGACCACAGGGGATCCCCCCACCTCAGCCTCCCAAAGTGCTGGGATTATAGGTGTGAGCCACGATGCCTGTGAATAACTTTTGACTTCTCTGGATTAGTAAGTTTAAAATTAAAAACAGCCAGCCTGGGCAACATAGCAAGACTCTGTCTCTATAAAAAATAAAAAAGTTAGCTGGGCATGGTGGTGTGTGACTGTAATGTCAGCTACTTGGGAGACTGAGGTAGGAGGATTGATTGAGCCTGGGAGGTCGAGGCTGCAGTGGCCTGTGATCATGTCACTGCACTGTAGCCTGGGTGACAGAGCAAGACCCTGTCTCAAAAAAAAAAAAAAGATTAAGTAACAGAACATTACTAGAACATGTGCATATTCTATGACCTAGCAATTCTCCTAGGTACAAACCCAACAGGTATGCAAATATGTGTTCACCAAAAGACAACTCAAGTTCAATAACTCTTATCATTTTGTCACTTTCATCTTAAATCCTAATTTTTTTTTTTGAGACAAAGTCTCAATCTATCACCCAGCCTGGAGTGCAGTGGTGTGATCTCGGCTCACTACAACCTCCACCTCCTGGGTTCAAGCAGTTCTCCTGCCTCAGTCTCTGAAGTAGCTGGTATTACAGGCACGTGCCACCAGGCTGAGGCAGGATAATCACTTGAACCTGGGAGGCGGAGGTTGTGGTGAGCTGAGATTGCCCCATTGTACTCCAGCCTGGGCAACAAGAGCGAAACTCCATCTCAAAAAAAAAAAAAAAAAATACACACACACACACATATGGCTGGGTACAGTGGGTCATGCCTATAATCCCAGCACCAACACTTTGGGAGGCCGAGGCAGGTGAATCACCTGAAGTCAGGAGTTCCAGACCAGCCTGGTCAACATGGTGAAACCCCGTCTCCACTTAAAATACAAAAATTAGCTGGGTGTGGTGGCAGGCACCTGTAATCCCAGCTACTCAGGAGAATCGCCTGAACCCAGGAGGCAGAGGTTGCTGTGAGCTGAGACCACGCCATTGCACTCCAGCCTGGGCGACAAAGCAAGGCTCCATCTCAAAAAATAAATAAACAAAATAATTGCCATAGCTCCCCACTACACACACTCCTACAAATATATAGTATATGATTTCAGACTTTTCCAACAGAGACCAAAATACACAATCATCCTTAACTGAAATAATCATCTTGAGTTAGGCTTAAGTTTTTGAGTACAGAGTTTGCACTTGATTTATTAAGCAGTGGAGAGCTGCTCAAAGTCTTTGAGGAAGTCTCACTAACTTCAGTTACCTTAAGCTGGCAGCCACAGGCAAGATACAAACAGATCTCAGACTTCATTAAGATCTTCGGTTGCTGTTTCTGCACGCCCCCTTCTGGCTAAGTGCTCATCGCTAAATGATGCCATTTTATTGTTTTATTTTATTTTATATAAATATTTAAAAAGTTTAATTCTAACTTTTTTTTTTTTGAGGAGATGGAGTCTCTGTCGTCCATGCTAGAGTGCAGTGGCACGATCTCGGCTCACTGCAGCCTCTGCCTCCTGGATTCAAGCAGTTCTGTCTCAGCCTCTGAAGTAGCTGGGGTTATAGGTCCACACCACATGCCCCGCTAACTTTTGTTATTTTTAGTAAAGACAGGGTTTCACCATGTTGGCCCAGCCGGTCTTGAGCTCCTAACCTCGAGTGATCCGCCCGCCTTGGCCTCCCAAAGTGCTGGGATTGCAGGCGTGAGCCACTGGGCTCACTACTAAATGAACCATTTTATTAACTGTAGCTGCTGACAAAGGCAGACATTGACGCAGAAATTGCCATTGCCACGGGAAGGAAGAGTTTATTGTGAAAATAAAGTATCTTTCTCTAGTGATAAATTTTAAAAAAGAAGAAGAAAAAGAAAGATAAAACATGAACTTTCATTAGATTATTTGTCAACATTTGGTGGTAGATAAACCAACAACCCATTCCAACTCCCCTGAAATTTTCCCATGGGTTAATTGACAGAGGAATAGTACATTTTGATTGGACATTTCTTTATAGTGACTTAATCCTCCCTGAAGGTGTTTCCTCCCTTTGAAATCAGAGAAAAGACACATTTGGTGACGACAATCAAAAGCTGGACAGGAGACACCTGGTGTTTGGAATGCTTTACCAAATTATTTGTCTTCCTTTGTTACCTCAGGGAGGAAGGCAGCCACAGCCTCTTCGTTTTCTTCCTGCCTTGGTTTACAAAGTTAGTCAAATACCCTGTACCACAGAGTGACTGGGTTAATGATTTATCTAAATGGAGTAAAAGCCATATGCTATTGCAACGTTGCATTTCAGTCTATTTTTCCAAACTAGTTAGCTATTGCACACTAATGATGTAGCTTAATGCTGTGTCACTTGGCTGTTCTAGAACATTTGTGTATATTATGTTCACAGTGCTGCAAAGAGCAACAGAGAACTTCCCTTTTTAATAGTTACAGTCTTTCTGAAAGCCCTGGAAGAAAAAAAGAAAAAAGTGACCAAAGAAACAAGACAGCATTCAGGTAATGTTTAAATCAGATTGGACCTCAGATCAAAGGGCAGGTTTAAAGTAAATGTTGAAATTTCATAGATTCAGAAAGTGTTCAGCTTGATGAATTAATGTACAGATCATTACTGTTCAGATTGATGAATTTCCTCAAAGCTCACACTCTTCTGTATTGCCCACAAATCTTAAACAGAACATTATCACAACCCTAGGAACCTTCTTGTGACCATTCCAGTAACAAAATCCCCTAAGATTAATCATATTATCTCTTCTGACATCATAAATTAGTTTGTTTATTTTTTTAACTTTATACAAATGGAATAATATGGTTTTTTGTTTGTTTTTGTTTGATTTTTTTGATACAGAGTCTCACTCTGTTGCCCAGGTTGGAGTCCAGTGGCACAATCTCTGCTCACTGCAACCTCTACCTCTCAGGTTCAAGCGATTCTCCTGCCTCAGCCTCCTGAGTAGCTGAAATTACAGGCACCCACCACCATACCTGGCTACTTTTTGTATTTTTAGTACAGACAGGGTTTTGCCATGTTGGCCAGGCTGGTCTCCAACTCCTGACCTTCAGTGATCTGCCTGCCTTGGCCTTCAAAGTGCTGGGATTACAAGTGTGAGCCACCACTCTGGGCTGGACTAATATGTTTTGATATCTGGATTCTCAACTTTTAAGTTTGTGAAGTTCACCCATGTGGTTTTATGCAGCTGTAGTTCATTCATTCTCATTGATACATAATATTCCATCATGTGTATATACCACAATTTATTCATTCTACCACTGATGGACATTTGGGCACCTTCCAGCTTTGGTTTTTATGGATACTGCTGCTCTTTCTTTCTTTCTTTCTTTTTTTTTTTTTTGAGATGGAGTTTCGCTCTTGTTACCCAGGCTGGAGTGCAATGGCACGATCTCGGCTCAAGGCAACCTCCGCCTCCTGGGTTCAAGCGATTCTCCTGCCTCAGCCTCCCGAGTAGCTGGGACTACAGGCGCGCACCACCGTGCCCAGCTAGTTTTTGTATTTTTAGTAGAGACGGGGTTTCACCATGTTGACCAGGATGGTCTCGATCTCTTGACCTCGTGATCCACCTGTCTTGGCCTCCCAAAGTGCTGGGATTATAGGTGTGAGCCGCCACGCCCAGCTACTGCTGCTCTTAATAGTCTTAAACGTGTCTTTTAGGCCAGGTGCTGTGGTTCATGCCTGTAATCCCAGCACTTTGGGAGGCCAGGGTGGGCAGATCACCTGAGGTCAGGAGTTCAAGACCAGCTTGGCTAACATGGTGAAACCCAGTTTCTACCAAAAATACAAAAAATTGATTGCACATCTAAAGGCCGAGCTGCCCCATAGCTACGATGCCTCGTGGAAGCTGAAGCCGCAGCCGCACCTCCCGCATGGCCCCTCCAGCCAGCCAGGCCCCTCAGATGAGAGCTGCGCCCAGGCCAGCACCAGCTGCTCAGCCACCAGCAGCGGCACCCCCCTCTGCAGTTGGCTCTCCTGCTGCTGTGCCCCGGCAGCCAGGTCTGCTGGCCCGGGTAGCAACGACTGGGCCACGCCATTACTGGGGGCTTCAGTGGAGGAAGTGATCCTGAGCCGGAGAGGCCTGACATCACTTACCAGGAGGCTCAGGGGACCAAGCTGGCACAGCAGCAGCAGTCTTGCTTCTATGAGATCAAACAGCTTTTGGAGTATGCCCATAACCAGGGTGACATCAAGCTCTGTGAGGGTTTCAGTGAGGTGCTGAAACAGTGTCGACTTGCAAACGGATTGGCCTAATCAAGAAGTTCAACCTGGAGAAATGGAAAACCAGCTCTCATAACCAAGTTAATTTAATATAAAATTTTAATTAATAGTGAAGGTATAAAGTATAGCCATCAGTTAAGCCTCTCCTGTCATTCCTAGCTTCATTGCTTCAGGATTGAAATGGAACGGGGTGTTCCTACTCTGTAGAATTTGGAGCTGGTCAAATGTTTGTGTGGCCTCCTTAAACTAGCTGTTATGATTTTATTCTTTGTGAGTTAATTAGAATAAAGCGATTTTCTTCCAAGAAAAAAAATACAAAAAATTAGCCAGGCATGGTGGTGTGCACCTATAATCCCAGCTACTCGATAGGCTGAGGCAGGAGAATCACTTGAACCTGGGGGGCAGAGGTTGCAGTGAGCCAAGATCATGCCACTATACTCCAGCTTGGGCAACAAGAGTGAAATTCCATCTCAAAAAACAAAATATGTCTTTTGATGACCATATATACTCATTTCTATTGGGTATGAACACCTGTGTAATATAAATAAAATTACATATACATATACACATGTGTGTATATATATATATACACACATATTTAGGGTTACTAGACATGGCCAACCATATATTTGAGCATTCTTTTTCTAAAATTTTTTTTTATTATTATTTAGAGACCGGTCTCACTCTGTTGCCCAGGCTGGAGGGTGGTGGCACGATCATAGTTCACTGCAGACTTGATCTCCTGGGCTCAAGCAATCTTCCTGCCTCAGCCTCACAAGTAGCTGAGACTGCAGATATGCACCATCACACCTGACTTCTTTTTATTTTTTATTTTTCTCATTGTGTTACCCAGGCTGGTCTGAACTCCTGGCCTCAAAACAATCCTCTCATCTCAGCCTCCCAAAGTGCTGGGATTACAACTGTGAACCACCACGCCTGGCTCATATGAGCATACTTGTTGCTGTATATCTTTGCCAAAACTTAGTACAGTCAGCTCTCCATATCCATGGGTTTCACATATGTGAATTCAACCAACTGAGAATGGAAAATATTTGCAGGAAAAAAACACAATAAAAAACAAGAATACAATAAAGAAAAAAATTTAAGCATAACAACTATTTATTTACTTAGCATTTAGGTTGCATTAGGTATTATAAGTAATCTAGAGTGATTTAAAGCATATAGGAGGATGTTATAGGTTATATGCAAATACTACACCATTTTATATCAGGGACATGAACCTCTGCAGATTTTGGTATCCAAGGGATCCTAGAACCAATCCTCCATGGATACCAAGGGACAACTATATTTTGTGTCTTTTTTTATTTTAGCTATTCTGCTGGGTACAAAGTGGTATTGCATTGTAGTTTTAAGAAAGACTTTTATTGAAGTATGCTATACATACATAAAAGTGCACATATCATAAGTATATAGCTTGGTGAATGGTTATAAACTGAACACAACTATGTCATCAGCACCCAGATCCAGAAGCAGTACATTATCACTATTCCCAAACTTCCTTGTGTTCCCTTTTAATCACTACCCTCCCTCCCACAGAGATGACCTCTATGCTGACTTCAAACTAATAGATTCGTTTTGACTGGTCTTTGTACTTTATGTAAACAAGATCATAAAGAAAGCATTTTCATATGTCTGATTGTATGAGCATTCTTTCTGTTTGTTCTATCTCCTCACCAGTACTTGGTATCTTCCTTTTTTTTTTTTAGCTGGAGTCTCACTCTGTCACCCAGGCTGGAATGCAGTGGTGCAATCTTGGTTCACTGCAACCTCTGCCTCCTGGGTTCAAGCAATTCTCCTGCCTCAGCCTCCTGAGTAACTAGGATTACAGGCATGTGCCACCACACCCGGCTAATTTTTGTATTTTTAGTAGAGATGGAGTTTCACCACGTTGGCCAGGCTGGTCTCGAACTCCTGATCTCAGGGTGATCTGCCTGCTTTGGCTTCACAAAGGGCCGGGATTACAGATGTGAGCCACTGTGCTTGGCCAGTATTTTCCATCTTTTTAACTTACTCTGGTTGGTGTGTAATGTATTGTGTTGTGATTTTGTAACATATTACATTGTAGTTTTAATTTGCTTTCCTCTGATAACTGAAGAAATTGGATATCTTTTTGTATACTTCTTAACCATTTGGATCTCTTTTGTAACATCTGTTCAAGTCTTTCTTCTATTCTATAAGATTGTCTTTTTCTTATTGACTTGTCAGAGTTCATCAGTTTCTCATAAAGTTAAACATTACACCCATCATATGACCCAACTACTCCACTTCTAGGAATTTACTCAAAATAAAAACATATGTTTACAAATGAGTTGCACATGAATGTTCATTATCAGCTTTACTCGTAATAGTTGAACATTGGAAACAACATATATGCCCATTAACAGGAGAATGGATAAACAAAGTGTGTAATATTCATAAAGCAAAATACTAAGTAGTAAAAAGGAGTGGACTACTGATAATATGCAACAATATGCAAGAATTCAAAAGCATGCTGAATTGAAGAGGCAAACACAACAGCACCTACTAAATAATTCCATTTATATAAAGTTCTAAGACAGGCAAAGTTAATCCTTGATGAAAGGAATTAGAATAGTAGTTGTTTCTGGGGAGTAAGAAGGTAAGAAGAGAATTGACTAGATGGAGGCTCAAGTTGCTTTTTGGGGTTTTTGTGTGTGGTTAATGCAGGTTTATGTGTTTGTGAAAACTGATCACAATTTGTATCTGTGCATTTTGCTGTGTGATAATCATACTTTGAGTAAAGAGTAGTATAAAACATTTCTTATGTATAATAAGCCTTATTCCTACAACCCCAAAAGGTGAAGGGAGGAATGAAATCACTCAGGATACGAAACTCATTCTTTGAAAAGAAAGCTAACTTTTTTTTTTTTTTTCTGAGACAAAGTCTCACTTCGTTGCCCAGGCTGGAGTGCAGTGGTGTGATCTCAGCTCACTGCAACCTCCGCCTCCCGGATTCAAGTGATTCTCCTGCCTCAGCCTCCCAAGCAGCTGGGATTACAGGCACTGCCACCATGCCTGGCTAACTTTTTGTATTTTTAGTAAAGGCAGGGTTTCACCATGTTTGCCAGGTTGGTCTCAAACTCCTGACCTTGTGATCTGCCTGTCTCGGCCTCCCAAAGCACTGGAATTACAGGCGGGAGCCACGGCTGTATTTTTAACAGCCTGAAGGTAGCTCTGGATGCTAGGGTTGCCTACTAAAGTAAATGATTTGGTAATTGGTATAACTTCTCCCTCAAATTAAAGATTTTTATTTCTCAAGATAAGATACATTTTACAGAATTGGGATATATACATTTTGTAAATTATTCTGTACTTCTTCATGCTGCCCATATGCTATGCCAATGGCTATTGATAATTTTTCCAATAAGAGGTTCAAAGACAGAAGAAAATTTATAATTAATAATGAATCAATTAATTATATTATAAAATTATTTATTTATTTATTTATTTATTTATTTGGAGACAGAGTTTCACTCTATTGCCCCGGCTGGAGTACAGTGGAGTGATCTCAGCTCACTGTAACCTCTGCCTTCTAGGTTCAAGTGATTCTCCTGCCTCAGCCTTCCAAGTAGCTGGGGTTACAGACGTGCACCACTATGCCTAGCTAATTTTGTATTTTTAATAGAGACAGGTTTTCACCACATTCGTCAGGCTGGTCTTGAACTCCTGACCTCAGGTGATCCACTCGCCTTGGCCTCCCAAAGTGCTGGGATTACAGGTGTGATTCACTGTGCCTAGCCTAAAATTATTTTTAAACTCTTTAGGTAAATGAGAATAGTTTCTGTTGATTGTTACTGTTATATTATTTGCTTTTCAATGACTAATTTTTAGATATATGAATATTAACAGCATTTTTTTTTGAGACACAGTTTCACTGTTGTTGCCTAGGCTGGAGTGCAGTGACAGGATCTTGGCTCACTGCAACCTCCACCCCCCCAGGCTCAAGTGATTCTCCTGCCTCAGCCTCCCAAGTAACTGGGATTATAGGCACCTGCCACCATGCCTGGCTAATTTTTTGGATTTTTAGTAGAGATGGAGTTTCACCATGTTGGCCAGACTGGTGTTGAACTCCAGACCTCAGGTGATCCACCTGCCTTAGCCTCCCAAAGTGCTGGGGTTACAGGTGTGAGCCACTGTGCTCAGCCTTAACAGCATTTTAAAAGGAGTTTAGATAAACATTTTGAAATAGATCAGGAACTACTGCTTAATATCATATCATCTAAAAAATGTGCATGATACAATTCTTTTAGAAACAATGAGACTATATACAGCAAACACTGAATGAAGCTCATACTATTTTATTGTAATTTGACTTCTAAAAATGTAACCTGAAGGCAATATTTAAAGTAAAGCAAAAAACAAGCAACGGTACAGTTTTTCCTTACGGCACTGACTATGATATATTTTTAAAAGTGGAGAAAAAGCTAAGTATCTGACATTAGAATTGCTTAGTAAACTATGCATCAGCACAGTAAAATACAAGAAATTAAAATGATAATTAGGGCTGGGCCTGGTGGCTAACACCTATGATGCCAGCACTTTGAGAGGCTGAGGCAGGAGGATCGTTTGAGCCCAGAAGTTTGAGGCTGTAGTGAGCTATGATCATGCCACTGCACTCCATCCTGGGTGGCAGAGTGAGACCCTCCCTCTAAATATCCTCACACACACAGACAATGCTTTGTATTTAAATTCAATAGAATGTATTACTAATCATAGTTATAGCTTTAATGAGTTTGTGCTGGACACCATAAACTTGTTATCTAATTTCTAACTTAATCCTCCGTAATAGCAGTGGGGTAGGATTATTGTCTTCATTTCCAAAATAAAGAAACTGAGGTTTAAAGAGGCTATTTATACTTAAAAAAAATTTTTTTTAATTTCTTTATTCTTTATGGCTAATTATACTTTTAAGTTCTCACAGCAAGTAAGTGGCTCAGATGAAAATTTCTTGAGATGCTCTTTGAAAAAGGAGTTGACACACTTCAGAATGACTTCATTCTGAAATACATGGGAGAATCACCATGTATATTATTGTCACAGGATCCTTAAGGTGACGCTTTGCCAGCCGAAAACCTCTGTGGCCAGCAGTGCCTTCTGCCTGAGTACTGCTTGCACACACTGGGCTCATTCTGCCCACTCTGCCTGGCAGACTGCACTCAGCTCACGCTACTGTCCTGGATCCCATACCTGCTAAGCACAAACCAGGCACGGAGTGGTGAGGGGTGTGTGGGTGAGCAAGTCCGGGGTCCAGCCACTGTACACAGCCAGGCATGCTGGCTGCTG